GATAAATCACAAGTTCAACTATTTGACTAATCATCATAATATTGTGGTGTAGTGGGTTTAATGGATACTAATTTGGCTATAGCAATCTAAGAAGTTTGAGATCACCTAGACTTTTCTTAGTTAATAGAATGGTTAGAGAAACTCATAACACATTTTCTTAGTTAAAGTCACAATTTCCATGAAACATGCAATTAATGAAAATTAACTAGCATTAAGATTTAAAAGTCACAAAATCCAAGAGGAGTCAAAATGTTTTCATTACCATGTTGGAGAAAATATTTTTATGATTGTGTGAAAGTAGAACAATCACAAGAACCATTTGTTGCTTGTTAATTTGAAGATGTATTACGTAATCAAGAAATTAACCAACTAATTAATTACAAATATTCACATATTTAAACTCATGATTAAACACATATGAACATAAATAGATGTTTTACTAGAAAATATATTCATAGCATACCATCAAAACCACACAAAACTACTCCTAATCAATTAATTATTTCATAGATTCACCCAATATTAAAAATAAAAACTAACTACACACAATAATAATAATAATAATGACAATAAAAGGATAGAAATTAGGGCTAATGTCATAAAAACCTTCAAGTTTTCAGGGTTTTGTCGGTTTTGCCAAAAGTTAAATTTTATGTCCGTTTTTACCCTAACATTTTCCAAAAAATGTTCAGTTTTACCCTTTTACCGGTGATAACAGGTTACCATTATATTAGCTTCGCAAAAAACCCTTAAGTTTATAGTTTTTTACGTTTTTACCCTTAAGTTTATATTTTTTTTACACTTTTACCCTTTGTATTTTTTTTTTTCATATTATATGTATTCATGCAGAAAATTTATATTTGTATACAAATTTTTTTTTAATTAAGTATTGTATTTATATTTTTTTAATGTTATTTCTTCATATATATATATATATGTGTGTGTGTGTGTGTATGGGTTTTTTCTTGGATAAACCATTTAAGATGTAAAAAAACGCAAATTAATATGTTTTTAGAACTACAAGTACATATTTTTATGCATTTAAAAATATACTTGTCAATAAAAAAATTTGTTGAATCATAAACATTTTATATAAGTATATACATATAATCTTAGAAGTGTAAATATGTATTTTGATATATGATTTTTTTAAGTATAAATATATTTTTAGAAGTATATATACATATTTATATATAATAATGTAAAAATATGTATTTATACTTCTAAAAACTATATCTATAAAACAGATATTCATAATTCTAAAAATATTATTTATCTTTTTAAATGGTATAACCTTGCAAACACACACACACACAACCAAACAAACATATATATATATATATATATATATATATAACATTAAAAAAATATAAATTCAATATTTAATTAAACATTTTTTCGTATATAAATAAAATTTTTCTACATGAATACGTATATTATGAAAAAAAATACTTAGGGTAAAAGTGTGAAAAAATTATAAACTTAAGGGTAAAAACGCAAAAACGGGTAAACTTAAGGGTTTTTTTGCGAATTTAATATAACGGTAACCTGGAAAACCTGTTATTACCGGTAAAAGGGTAAAACCGAACATTTTTTCGAAATGTTAGGGTAAAAACGGATATAAAATTCAACTTTGGGCAAAACCGACAAAATCCTGTAAACTTGAGGGTTTTTATGACATTAACCCTAGAAATTATACAAATACCGATTACAAAATGAAGATAATAAAGCTCCTTGAAATCGTCACTTCTTGTTGCTCCAAAAAACTCCATTCATAATCTAAATATTAATACAAAAATTAACCTAACCTAATCTAATATAAATAGTTAATTCCAAGATAATAAAATCAATGATAAATATATGAATGATAATATGATTTGAATTCCAAAAATAAGAAAGGAAAAGAAAGGAGGAGACTCCAAAGGCGCCATCACTCCCTCTGCTCCTAGTGCGGCGAAATGAATGAGATGCCATACTGCATGTTTTAGTTGCGCGTTTAATTCCTAGCACAAGTTCAAAATAGGCTTCATACTCAACTTATAAATTGGGCTGCTAAAGTATTAAGTAATGGGCTGTACAATTACTCTATTGGGTTGCCATAAATTACTAACCTGGGCTGCATATTGGACTTCATGTAGTGGGCTGCCAAAACTAAATATGGCAACAATCTGCATTGTTGCTCATCAGACCAAAAACCCGGCCAAAACATGTCCGAATCAGCTCATTTTTCGTGAGATTGAAGATCAATGAGTTGGGAAGATTCTCGTAAAATTTCAGCTAAATCGGACTATGTTTGCCACTCCATCTGATCGCTTGAAGAAATATGGTCAAAGTTGTCAAAATCCGAAAAATTAATTTATATCGTTTGTTTTTCTTTTCGTTTCCGGTTTTGCTACGAGATTTTAATCTTGATTGCAAGACATTCAGTATGGATTTAACAATGCTCCAAAATACCATCTTGCTCGAACAAATCTACACAAAATTTAGTTTAAACGAGTAAAAATATTCAAAACAATAAATCTAATGATTTAATAAAAAAGGAATACTGAAAAATGCTAAAAGTAAAAGATAATGATTGCAAAAATATATACAAATAATCAAGCTATCACATATCCATAAATGTTCATTAGGATGAGACGTAATGCAAACAAAGGCCCAATTTACTAACGTTTAACCATTTTTACGAGCATATCATTATGGAATCAATCGATCGTATATTTTGTGTATGATTAAAACATTATGTTCCCTTTATTTTAAACTAGCATTTCATGGGTTATGGATCAAATGATTTAGAACTTTTAATTCAAATAAACGTTGTATGAAATGGGGTAAACCTAAATGATAGAAGTCTCGTCTCGCCTTTTGACACCCCTCATAATTATTCTACACACAATATAAAATGGTATAGCTCCCCTAGTCTTCACTTCAGAAGACAGAACATGGACAGTTTCTCGAATTTGGGGGAGATATATTACAACTTCTCTGTTATGATTTCACAAAAAAATATGTTATAAACATGTTGGTCTTTTGAGTTTTAAGGTAAAAAATACCAAATTTAAACATCAAATTTCACATAGCCTCTACGAATATTGATGAAATCTTATGCGCTAATTCCAACTCCATTATCAAACACAACATACTGATGAAAATCCTTCAAAATTTGAAAGTATTTCACAAAGATTTTGCGTGCACGATGTCTCTTGAACATATGTGACATTTAAAAGAAACAAGTTACCCTTGTTTTTATTTGGCTTTGGAGGATACACAACTAAATGCATGGTGAAAATATATCCAGGAACTTCAACTAAATGCATGGTGATAATATATCCAGGATCTTCGTTCACAGGAGACTTGGAGTACTCAACAAGTGTTTTATCGTTTTCCAATACATTCCCACCATTGATGAGCTTCATATCGCGTAAGGTCTTAGGCTCGTTTTCTTTGTCTGTTTAGAGGTTAAAATATTTTTATAAGGAGAACGTTTATAACGTAGGATCATAAGGTTGAAACGTGATGCATTCACTTAATATACATATAATAAAGCATAAGTACATAGCATATATATCGAACTGTTTTATGCAGAATTTGTAGTTGGGAATTTTATACCAAGAACAAGAAAATTCAAAAAATAGCACATCGCTAAATTAACAAAATAAAACCGACATTTATTGAAACCCAATTACAAGAATGTATAAATAGAAAAAAAAAAATCAATAATTTATATTTCAAAATCTCAACAAAAATAAAAAATAAAAATAAAATTTTCAAAATTATCAAATCAAAGGATTCGACTTATTGAATCAACATTTGGACCATTGTGAAAGTATCATCTCTTTCAAAAACCTTACAATGGCGATAAGACTGTATTTGCTTGGTCTAATATCGCTGCCATCGGCTAACCTGAATTTGATTTCAATTGGTCCTTAAGATGCCATTTTCATCTCAAGTTTTCATAATGCACTTGGATTTTGTGAAAGAAGATTAAAATTTTGATTTTTTTTTTCAACGAATTAAATAAAAACGTGAATGAAGTATCTCCTAATCTATGAAGAAAAAGCTTTCAGTTAGTTTAGAATAATATTAGTAAAAAGAAGCAAGTGGTGACAAGTTAAACAATAAAAAGTGAGTTTAGATTGATATATATTTAAATAATGGAGTTGAAAGGTGGACACATGGGTTTAGATGGTGGTGATAAGAGAATTAAGAAGGTTTATTTTGGTACGGCAAGAAAAATGAACGAGGAAAACTTAAAACCTTTATATTTTTTTTAAAAATGTTTAATTTAAGGTTTTGAATTGGGTAATTTTAGGTCGTCTGGTATACCCAAGATGAATGCATCTATGGTCTAGCTGACCACAGACCATGATTGTGCACACCATTCCGGTGTCTCGTCGTGACTCATGGTCGTCGTTGTTCGTGTTGGGGAGGACGGAGGAGAACGACCAATCATGTCTCTCTTCTCCTCTCTTCTTCTCTCTTCCTTTCTTCTTCTCTTTTGTAGTCCACGAGGAAATCGATGTTGAGCACCATTCTAACTATGTTGAGGAAGACAATAATGGTGATGTGGAGCTGGAAGGAGATAATTGATTTTCAAGGGTTTATTGGTTATAATTCATTAGATTAAAAAAGTTCAAAATATATAAAGTTTCAATGCATTAAAAAATAATGTAAGGTTTTAATGCATTAAAAAAATAATATATTGTTTTTTTAAAGATTTACTTTTTTTTTTTAAATCATAAATACTCAAATAAAACAAATTCGGATTTTTAATGCTTTGATAAAAATAGATTGAGTTTTTTTTATGTCAAAAATCTTTAAATAACACTTATAGAAAATATATGTGTTTTAGTGCACCAAAAAATAAGTGTTTTTTTTTTAAGAATTATATGAAAATATATTGAGATTTTTTAGATTTGCACTTGTTTTTAACATAAAAGCATAGAAAAATTAATAGATAAAATTTCAAATATAGCCCTTATAGTTTACAAAAAATACTAGAAATGGTACTTATGAGAAATTTGTTGCATGGATGGTCTTTATCTTTGAAAATCCTTGCATAATTGGTTATTTTGGCTTGTTTGTTTGTTTTTATGTTGACTCTTATACGAAAACACATTTTTACCCTCTTTTATTAGTTATTTCTAACTTAGAAACTTATTTTTCACTCCCACCAATCCATCATTAGTTGACATTTTTTCTGACGAGCTTAATCATGAACATGTTCAGAAAATAGTCTGAAAATTATATCGTTTCGGTACAATGACAATTAAGTAGAAATATTTATTTTCTAACTATAATCTTATTAATAAATTCAACTAACAATATATACTTTCCACCTACCAATTTATTTTAATGTTTTAATTTAATAGTTATCTTATTTCATGTAAAAATGAGTTCATCTGAATTTTGTGTTTGGTATTATGTGGAAGAAAATTTGTTATGTATGTTTTGATATTAACACATTTCCTGAAGACTCGAATGAACCGCTATCATCTAAGATGAAAACAAATACGAAAAAATGAAAACAAATCCAAAAAAAATGAAAAAATAAAAAATATGAAAATTTTAAAATATAATACAAAAACAAATATGAAAAAAAACTAAGAAAAATACAAAAAGTGTAAAATGTATGAATATATTAGAGTAAATAAAAACCAAAAATTATATATATATATATATATATATATATATATATATATACTGAAAATAAATTTAAAAAATAAAAGATATATATAAAAAACAAAAAATAAAATTAAAAAACTTAAAATGATAATTTTGTAAGAAAATTATACTCATACCAATAATAAATAAAATATTAAATTTTTTTTTCAGTTACCCATTAAAAACTTAAGAATTTTATCGTACTAGTCATTTTAGAAAGTATTACTTGTGTAGTCTTTTTTCTATTTTTTTTTGGGTTAACAAACTTTATTTGATATTATAAAATTTGGTATAAACAAAAATATTTAAAAAAAAAATAATAAAATACAAAACCCTAAAAATAATACAAACGCCAACCCCCAAACCTCGCTTTTTTTATCTCGCAAACCCTCCCCATTCCCGTCGGCCTAGACATACCATCACTGCCGCCTGACGCACACTCAACACCCTCATCGCTGCCACCTTCCTTCCCATCCCATTACCGACAAGAACATAGAGCTATCAACCCCGCATCTTCGTTCTATCGTTCTCTAGTCGGACGCCTGCCAGTCACCACCGCAGCACCGCTGTCCACCGGCTGTTCTGCTGTTCTTTCTTGTTCACAGAAGAAAATCAGGTATGGTCCTGTTCGACTTCGGCTGTTCTTCCTTGTCTCCGTTTCTGTTTCCTCTCTTTTCTAATTCCTCTGGAAATCAGCAGCCAATCTATTGAGTATTCAGACTTCAGTATCGAATTTGTTCCTCCATTTGCTTGTTGTTGGAATTTGGTATACAAGTAATTATGATTTCACATACAGTTAAATGATTTTTTGCAGAAATTTGCTAATGTCTGTCTAGAATGAGCTGATTGATGAGTAATATGAATTGTTCCTCCATTTGCTTGTTGTTCGACTTTGGGAATCAACTCATTAGGATTTCACACTGTTAAATGTTCCCTTTTCCACAAATTTGCTAATGTTTTGTCTAGATCGAGTTGATGAGTGATGAGCATTTCTTCTGTTTATCTAATATTTGATTTTTATGGTCCTAAATTAGTAAATTTGATCTAAGTTAGATGACTGTTCCTCCATTTTGATTTTTATAGATACATTCATGGGTAAGAACGGTAGTTTTAGGTATTTTGGTGTTTAATTGCTCAGTTATACTATCTATCTATCTCGACTATCTGCATTGCTAAATAGGATTAGATATTTAACTCAGATTTCCTTTACTATGTTTTACAGAAACAGACGACATTCACCATGTTTTAATGATGACAATACTTTGATCTGATTTAGGATAACAACACTCAACAAGCATTCTTTGCAAATCTGGTTTTGTGCAGATATGGCAGGTGAGAGACGAGTGCTGACACTAGGTGGAAAAGGCTCAACCCTCTCTTCAGATTCTGTCTTTGAATTTTCCACTGCTTCTCCACCTCAGCTCCTCCAGATTGATCCTTCTGCTCTTGCAAGGCTCTCTTCATCTCCTTCCAATCATAAACCCAATTCAGCATCAGCCCCCTCCAAGCTTCAACTATCTGTCCCTGATTTTCTAACCCCTGAGGAAGCCAGAGCTTCCATTCTGCTACTCCTGTACAAACACTTGCTTAGTGGATCCCCCTCCTCCTCTGCTGTTTCTCAGCTATCAGATATCTTGAGCAATGATACTAAAACCCTCACACTTGATCTGGATTTCGTTAAGCATGCCAACATTGATATGTTAAGAGGTTGCTGGCCTAACATTACTGTTAATGGCATCTGTGCTCTCCTTGACTACACAGCCTCCTCATTAACCATAGTTGCAGATGCTGTTGCAGCCTTGTCTTGTGAGGCCTTGAAGGCTGACACTTCAACTGCCTTAAATTTCTTCACAGACTCTGGTGATGGCTCTTCTGATAAAGATATGGCTTCTGTTGCTAGTGATTTGAAGGTTTTGCTTAATGGATCAAAGTTTCGTGGTACTTTGCAATGTGATCAAGTTGATAACATTCCCATTATTCATGGTCGTTTGAGATCTCTCAGCAAATCAGTTCATCAATCAACTCGGATTGCACTGAATTCTACTCTGTTAGCAAATGGAAGTGTCAGTGAGGATTTGACCACACTCTTTTCTTCTCTCTCATTTGCTATCAAGAGTCTTGGTGAGAGTAGTTGGCTTCGAGCAAACACTTTGGTAAAAGACAACATATTTCCTGATTTGGCTAAGAGTTTCAATGCTGGATGTCCTGGTCTTGACATATTGGAAGCCTCCGTTATGTCTTCTGTAACAAAAAAGATGAAAAAGAACTACATCGAATCATTGCATGAAATCTATGCTTTGTTTGAAGTTGTGAGAAAGATTCTTTCTTGGGAAGCAACGGTTTCTTTTTTATCATTGGAGGGGAGTGAGCTGATGGAGAATGGAGAGAGAAGTGTAAAAGGTCAAGAGGGTGTTGATGGAGGAAATGTGAAACCGGATAAAAAGAAGGACAAGAAAAAGAAGGTTATGGGAAAAGGCACATCTGTTTTGATGCAGTTTATCAAAGATAGATTACAAATCAAGGTATTTGATACTTCATCTCTTGTAGAGAAAGTGGCACAAGGTTTCCTCTCCTTCCTGGACTTGAAAGATCCCAACTTTAAAAGTCTACTAGATAAAGTCAAAGAAGTTGTTGACAGCAATGAAAGCAGAAGGCTTCCCAAACTTGCCAAGGTAATAATATAGATACCATGCATGCTTATATGTTTATATTTGATAAGACATTTGTTTCTTAATATTTATATCTTTTTCAACTTTACAGGGAACCCGTGATTTTGCAAAAGAACAAATGGCTGTAAGGGAGAAAGCCTTCACAATCATTGGCAATGTTTTTAAGAGACATGGTGCTATGGCACTTGATACTCCTGTATTTGAATTGAGAGAAACTCTTACAGGAAAGTATGGTGAAGATTCAAAGTTGATTTATGATTTAGCTGATCAGGTGAGATATGCATCCTTGATTAGGTAATTTTTGAAGGAAAAACAAAAACATGTGCATTGAAGATTGATATGCATTTTGTTTGATTTTTAGGGTGGAGAGATTTGTTCCCTTCGGTATGACTTAACTGTTCCATTTGCTAGATATGTTGCCATGAATGGTCTGACATCTTTCAGAAGATACCAAATGGCAAAGGTCTACAGAAGAGACAACCCATCTAAAGGAAGATACCGTGAATTCTATCAATGTGATTTTGACATTGCTGGTGATGACACAATAGCAGCTGACTTTGAGGTTGTCAGAATCTTGGTTGAACTACTAGACGAGCTAAACATCGGTGATTATGAGGTAAGTTTTCTACATGTTCAATTCATCACATTCACATAAAGATTCTTTTCCCATTTTGCCCTTTTCCTTTTGTGTGCACAGGTGAAGTTGAACCACCGTAAGCTACTGGATGGAATGCTGGAAATATGTGGTGTTCCATCTCACAAAGTCCGAACCATTTGTTCAAGTATTGACAAATTAGACAAACAATCATTTGACCAAATTAGAAAGGAAATGGTTGGTATTATATTGAATCCTTCTACATTCTAGTTAGTGTTCCTTCATGATGTGTACATTGGTTGACCTTATCTTCTTTTTTTTTCTTGTTATAAGATTGAAGAGAAAGGGTTAGATGTGGATACAGTGGAGAAAATTGGTAAATACGTGTGTCTGAAAGGCCACCCTTTGACACTACTATCAGAACTGAAAAAAGAAGAAAGTGTGTTTCTGAAAAACGAGGCTTCAAATCAAGCATTGAAAGACTTGGAGAAATTATTCGAATGTTTAGACAAAAGATGTGTAGACAAAGTGGTTCTTGATTTGAGTTTAGCAAGAGGGTTGGATTACTACACTGGAGTGATATATGAAGCGGTTTTCAAGGGTGCAACACAAGTTGGCTCAATTGCTGCAGGTGGTCGTTATGACAATCTTATAGGCATGTTTGGAACAAAACGTGTGGCTGCAATTGGTGTTAGTTTGGGAATCGAACGTGTCTTCACAATAATGGAAGAACAGCAAAAAGTTGAAAATCAGGTAAATAAAAAACTTGGGTGTATTTCTGTATATTCTGTGAGAGAAAGAGAGTTGATTGATTGGTTTTTTTTGTAGGTGATTCGAGCGAGTGAGACACAAGTGTTGGTGAGTGTGTTGGGGGATGATGTGGGTTTAGCATCTAAACTGGTTCAGATGTGTTGGGATGCCAAAGTGAATGCAGAGTTTATGGCGAATAAGAGGCTTAATAAGCATTTTGATCGAGCTAAAGAGTTTGGGATTCCATGGATGGTGATTGTTGGTGATAGAGAAATTAAAGAAGGGATTGTTAAGATTAAGAATAAAGAGGCGAATATAGAGCAAGAAGCTTCTATGACTGATTTTGTGGATCAACTCATCAGACTTATGAACACCAGGTAAACTGTGAAAAAGGAAATGAAGCTATTTTTGTTTACTATTTGATTGAGCAACTTGGAAGTGTTATGCCTGTTATAGTTTTACTTGTAATGCCATTGTTTTTGATACATTTGGGTTTATATCTTTCACAAGTGGTTGACTTTTTTCTTCTTTTTTTTTTAATCGTCCCTAGTTAAAATGTTTCATTTATTTTAAAATTGAAATTGCCACCATGTTCTTCTGCTACTCGGTAGATAGAAGAACAAAAAAGATAGCTTACTGTTTATGTATTGTCCGTTTTATTTTTATAATAGGGTGTAAATCCTAACAATAGAGAAATTGTTTCTTTGTGTTGTGGGAGTGTGGGACAACATGCGTTGCCCCATATAATTAAATTCCATCATGGGCAAATTCACATTTTATATGTAGAGCACGTTGTGATGTACTTTTAAGTTTTAAACAACACGTGTGAAGTGTTTAACAAAAAACATGTGGATGGAGGAGACAAACCAATCATGCACTCGTTTGGAATACAATAATTATGGAACACATGATGAATGTGCAAAAGGTAATTGGCAACTCCAAAGGTCCTTCGACATCAAAATCAACAAAAAAAAATTCAGATCAAAACCCAAGCTAATCATTACAAAGTGGTGTAGTGTGGGAATTCCAAGTAAAATGACATGATGCTCATGTAGGTGGGAGTTGACAGGGTTACCTTGCACAACAATCTTTTTTTTTTTTTTTACTTAATTGTGATGTCGTAGAATGTAAAGAAGTTGGGGGATACAGAAATTTGGGTTCATAAGTGTTACTTGCTACAAATATGGAATGAAATATACATATTCAAGATAGAATCAATTAAAGATCGTAGCATATGGCCTAAAAGTGATTGTCCAACAACATTAGTTGCACCTCGTTATAATAAAAGCACATTGGAAGACCTTAAAAGAAGAGAGAGACAATACATGATGAGGTTTTAAGTCGAACAATGGTTTAAAATAACAAGTTTATCAAAACAATTATAAACTATGACATGCTCTAAATGTAATTTTAAATGTCACAATGCTATGAGTTGCAAAGGTGAGTCTTAAATCTTCTAATGGGATTCTAAAGAAGAAATTAGGATCAAGTGTAGGTGGGAAGATAGCAAACAGATCAGGATATGTGCATATGTACTTCGATCCAACTTTGACAATCATCAAACTACCAAATTCGGAAACGAAACAGTCCATACCCATAAATATATTTTTTTTCATACTTAGAAACATGTATACTACATTTAACATTCCCATACAAAAATCATTATTCAAAGTACGATCTAAACCAAAAACCATGAACATCAAAACAAAGACTGATTCATTTTTACACAACTTTACTAAACCAAAACCATGATGTAGACCCACTAAGTCATCTTAGTTACCATCACCAACAGTTGAATAACAACTACCCAAACGCTTCATTCTTCAATTTGTGCAATAATAAAGTTGCTTTTAGCTTACACAAAATTCATGGAATGAAGCATTTCTTGGTTGAAATCCATTTCCCTTGAACACATAGATGTATCAAACTAGCCAAAAAATCAACATTTAGTACCTTACATTCAAGAAACTAACAAACCTTAAGCCCTTAACCATTACCACATGAGAGCATGAGTAGAATCTTTGTCCATGGTTGTTGGATATCCATATCCAAGATGTTTGTATCACATCAAATCGACCGCATGCACAAAAGTTAGTTTCCAAATTAGAGGACTTGTTTTAATGAAGCTTAAAGAATGAGACTAAAACCCAATTCTCGTTCTTCTTTAAGAAGCAGATGAGAAGTAGAGACTAGAGAGGGAGGGGGCTGATGTAAATACCCTTATGTGACTTGCACATAAGGGGATCCTAACGACATGTGGCAAACAAAGTGAAGATGGAGGGATTAACATTGATAATATAGTTTAACTTGAGGACCATCTTTGCAACAAACAAGCCTTTGGACTAAATGTGTTACATTTTTTAAAGAACCAGGGACCAAACATGTAAATCACTATATTCTTAATTAAAATCATTTTCTTGATTTTGTGTTTTGGTTTTGGGGATAAGGAGACCGTTTAAATTTGTTCAAAAAACATCATTCAAATATTACATGTTCAAAAAACACCATCAAACTAAAACATATATTCAAAAAACACCAACGAAATACATATTATGTTAAAAAAACATCATCTCTATGGCTTGTGGTAACTTATGTGTTTAGCCTCTAACTTTTTTTTTGTTAACTTGGACGATTCCTAGTGTTTATATTTATTTTGTCTTTGGACCATGATCGAGTTAAAAGACTAATATACCTTTATTAGTTTCATTTAACATTTATTTTTATTACTTGTTAATTTTTTATACAATTGATATATTTATAATAATTAATAAAATAAATTGTATAAATAATTAAAAAATAAAAAAAATAATGTTAAATGAAAGTAATACGGGTATATTAGTCTCAATCAGGGTCCGAAGTCGAAACAAATTTAAACTAAAGGGACGTCCGAGTTAAGAAAAAAAAATTAGGGACTAAATATGTAAATTACCACAAACCATAGAGATGGTGTTTTTTGAACGGCACATATACTTCGTTGGTGTTTTTTTGAACATATGTCTTAGTTTGATGGTGTTTTTTAAACATATAATACTTTAATGGTTTTTTTTAACCAATTTAAAACTTCGATGGTCTCCTAAGTCATTTTCCCATTGGTTTTGGGTATTTGTGTGTGAGCCCGTTGTGTTTATTTCTAAACCTTTTTTATCTGCGTAACTTTTTTATTGTATGATTACATCGTCATTATCTAATTAAAAATGATCACTGTGGATAGGGTTGTATATGAAATTGCAGTACAAGTCTGATCTTGTGTGTGGATTGTTTTTGGCTCGATGTTTCCCTCACATTTCGTTGTATGCTAAGAACTGTTCTGTGATTATTTAGTGGATTTTGTGTGAAAACAAGACTAGTTGTACATCCATGGTTAGCCTAAAACATCTTCCAAGATTGATTCCATTGCATCACAACATCCACTTCCCAAATTAATGACTAGTCAATTAAACTCTACAAAATGTAATGAATTGTCACATCAACTTTCTACTTTTCATACACTAACGTCATTTAATTCCTAGTCCATTGAATTTCACAAAGTTAAATGTGGCCCCTCTTTTGTTTCTCCAATCAACTCCAAATTCATTGTATCTCATCTTGTCATTCTACTATGGTTAAGTTAAGTTCATCATAAGTTAACTTGCTAACAATGTATTGTGAATTGTGAAATCCCTGAGATGAATTCGATGTTAACTGATTTTTTAATGTTTTTTTTTTACCTTTAATGCCCATGTTAAGATCTTAATTTGACGGTTCATAATATTTGATCATATGTATTTTGTTCAAAGCATAAAAAAAAATAGTTATAAAGAAACAATCGATAGAAAGGAGAGAAACTTCAAACATAAATCCAAACACATGTACAACTTTAAATCGAAATGGAAATGATCTTCACAATGTTTTAACATCTGCCTTAATTGCCACCATTTTCAACTCCAGTCATAGCTTGCTGAAACCAAATAGAAACCCGTTATTTACTTATTTCCCACAATGTAGTAGATAGAACAACAAAAAAAAGATAAAGTGTATGCAGTGACATGTTGTACCTTTATGCATGACAACGTGTACTGCACATCACTTGCAGATACTTGGTGGTGAATCACAATCCTTACCCTACAGAATATCATTTCATTCTCAGAATCCACATCTATGGACTTTTAATTCTATTTCATGATTTATGAACCACTTGTTTTTTTTTTTTTTTTTTAATTATAAAAATATAGCACCTGGATGAGCTATCCGGCATCAAAAGTATACCATGTTCCTCCATAAATTTGCCTAACTTCAATGCTGTAATATTTGAACCCTCTAATATTTCAAAATAAACCTGCTCAAAACCAAATTAATATCTTATCATAGGCTTTAATGGAACAAAAAAAAGGGGACCAATCGATATACTTACAATATTTGTCTCCACAGAAGCTACATCCGCTTTGAGTCCCTTGATTTTATTTAATCCCTCTACAAAAAAAAAAAAAAAAAAAAAAAAAAATTGCGTGTTCAGAATTTAACCAAAGAGAAAATATATTTACATAAAAACCCTTTAAGAAGTGGAGTATTTATTACCAGCTAAAGTCTTGGCATTCTTGTGATCATTTCCAAGCTTTCCAACGTTTTCTTGTAAAGCAACAAGAGCAGCAGCACATAGGATTCCCACCTGCCTCATTCCCCCTCCCAAAGTTTTTCGCAAAATCCTTGCCTATATCAATAAAAAATTTAAGCTTTCAACTTAAATAAAAACTATTAACCAAAATTTGTCAACTTTTAATAACTATAACTATATTATATACCCTGTCAATGAAGCTCTTTGTCCCAACAATAACACTTCCAACTGGTGCACCAAGTCCCTTCGACAAGCATACCTGAAACACAATAAATTATGAATTCAATTTTTATACAACTATATAACGTAAGTCTTGTTTCCATTCTATAGTGGTTATAAGAAAAAGGTTTTGGAAATGAACATACTGAAACAGAATCAGCAGCTTGTACAAGCCTATGAACAGGGACACCAAGAGCCTGAAAAAAAAAAATTCTTGAAAATGAATGGATGGAAAATGAGGAAGAAGGTTGGAATTTGAAAAGGGTTTCTTTAACTCACAACAGATGCATTGAAGATACGAGCTCCATCTATATGAAGCTTTAGGTTATGTTTTTTGGCAAGCTCCCCAACCTGATCTGTGTAGTCTACAGAAAGAACTCTCCCACCAGAGCTGCATCATTGAGCAGTCTCTGTCAGGCATTTTGTCATACACCTGTAGAGCATTAGAAAAAGGAAACGGAAATTCTTACTTAGCATGGGAATTCTCAAGGCAAATGAGCCTAGTTTTCGGGTAACAAATCTCAAAGTCAGGGTTTCGGATTGCAGACTCGATGAGATTGATATCCATAGTGCCATCTTCGTTATTCTTTACAGGTCTCGGATGAACACCCCCGATGGTTGAAATTCCACCGTTTTCGTATATATGGATGTGGGAATTGTTGCCAAGGATGACTTCACTTCCTCTGACCTCACAATGAACGAGAACACTTATAAGGTTGCCCATGGTCCCCGAAGGAACAAAGAGTGCGGCCTCTTTGCCTGTAATTCGGGCCATTTCTGTCTCGAGGTGACGGGCCGTCGGGTCGTAAATCAAAACGTCATCATCCACCTCCGCCTTCGCCATAGCCAATCTCATTGTTTCG